TGTTATAGTAACACTCTCACAATGTTTAGTTTTGCTACCGGAGAAAATGTTTCATGATAATCAACTCCAAAAGATTGAGTGGATTCTTTCGCCACTAATCTCACCTTATATCTTTTAATGCTACCATCAGTTTTTATTACCGTGAATACCCATTTTGCAGCCGACTGGTTTTTTATCTTTCGGAAGATCAACTATAATCCAAGTATTGTTGTTTTTCAGTGCTTTTTATTCCTCTTCTACTGCCTTTTTCCACTTGGGATCTTTCAATGCTTCTTCCACCGTATCCGGAACAGTAATGCTATTTACACTTGCTGTAAAGTTCTTAGAACAAGGCTTTAGCTTTCCATATGCAACAAATCTCTCAGTTGGATAATTTCTACATTTTCTTACTCCTTTTCTTTGAGCAATCGACAAGTCATTATCATCAATTAAAACATTTAATTCAGTGGAAGAACTCTGATTACCTTCTTCATTCTCTAAAAGATTCTCGTTCAGTTCCAGTTCATCACAGTGTCCATACTGTGTGAGAGACTCTGGATTAGGTTCAGGGATTGATTTAGAAATAGGTTTTTGTTGTCTCTTGTAAATCTGCAACTCAGATTAAGGTATTTGAGGTGAAGTGATATGTTGATCATGAAGAGGTAAATGTGTTTCGGTGGGCTGGTTTGGCAATGATACATTTTTTGGGTTCGATAGTGTTGTTTGGTATGGCTGTAGCGATTTTGTAGTCTTATTCGACTGGTTTAACTGGTTTGACGATGCTGGTTGATAAAAAAAGCTGGCTGCAAATCAAGTGACAATTGTTGTGAGTCAACAAACTGATATTCATTATATGACTCCCCCTGAATAGCAATTTTAAAGAAAAAATGTGTTTTTTCAAAGAAAGTAACGTCCATAGTAATAAAGAATTTCTTAGTACGAGGATAATAACACCGAAAACCCTTTTGATTCGATGAATAACCTAGAAACACACACCGAAATGCTCGAGGATTTAATTTGGACCTGAAAGGAACATTGTTATGAATGAACACAGTACAACCAAAAACTCTAAGAGGTAACAATGAAGTCATCAGTTTAAAATTGGGAAAAACTGAAGAAAAACAGCTCTCGGACACTTAAATTGTAACGATTTATTAGGGAGACGGTTAATCAAATAAGTGGCAGTTAAAAGGACTTCCCCCCAAAAATAGTTAGGAACATTTATGGAAAAAAGTAGAGACCGAGTAACCTCAAGAAGATGCTTATTTTTTCGCTCAGGAATCCCATTTTGTTGAGGAGAATTGACACACGAAGTAAGATGAACAATCCCGGTTTCCTGAAAGAAAGAACCCAAAACATTGGCAAAATACTCACTACCATTGTCAGAATGAAACATTTGGATTGAACACTGAAATTGGGGTTTCACCATCTTATGGAACCGTTTAAATTTCACAAGCTTCAAATTTGGTTTTCATGAGAAAGGTCTAGTTAGTACGAGTGTGATCATCAATTAATGAAATAAACCACTGAAACCCATGTAAAGATGCGACCTGAGATGGTCCTCAAATATCACTATGGATCATGGTAAATGGTTTGGACGGTTTATATGGAGAAGGTAGATAAACACCCTTAGTTTGTTTAACAAGTGGACAAATATCATAAGAAAAAGATTTTGGACTTTTATTGACAAACAAATATGGAAACAATTTTGCAAGATAAAAGAAACTGAGATGTCCTAACCGAAAATGCAATAACATAACATCGGTTGAAGGTTCAAGTAAAGGAGATTTGTGTATAACATTGAAGGAAGTAGATGGGTGGAAAAATAAAGTTGTTGGAAGTAGGTAAAGACCCCCACAAAGCATAACACTGCCAATCACTTTCCTTGAGCTGGAATCCTGAAATTCACAAAAATCAGAGTTAAATTTCGTGGTACAACATAAATCGACAGACAAATTGCTAATGGAGATAAGATTGCAAGTGAGATTGGGAACATAAAGAACATGAGATAACAAAATGTCCTAATTTATTCGAATAGACCCATGACCGATAACACCAGATAGAGAACCATCAGTTGTTCGAATATGAGAGATAGACGAGTCGGCATGAAAAGTGTGAAAGAGCCAAAGATCACCTGTCATATGATCACTTGCACCAGAATCCACAATCCAAGTAGGAGTGGTGGATGTATTAGCCAAAGTAGCAGAAGGAATCTAACCTTCAGTACTGATTGGAATGAGAGTTTAACTGACTAAAAACTTGTTGCAACTCTTCCATTTGTTTTTTAGTAAACGAAATTCCTTTTAAATCAGTATTCACAATATAGTTTCCTTGAGTATCACGTTGTTGATGCTGTTTTGAAGACTTCCCATCAGTAGGCTTCTGCGACATTTGAATATTACTAGGCAAAGAACCAAAGAGGAGATTTTGTTCCTAATGTTTTTGCTACAGGATCAGGTTCTTTGCGACCAGGGAGTCTGGAGATCCCGTGCATTAGATGGCCAAGATGGCGGCAAAGGGAGTGCATGTCCAACTACTGCAACGGCCGGATCTAAGGGAAACGGTTGCTGCTGTCACTGTTGCGGTTGAGGAATAAGCATGGCAGTAACACTGGACATTATTGGAGATTAGCACAGGGAGACGTGAGAACCTGTCAGGTTACCTGATGAATCGACTAGATTTAGGTGAAGGATCGATCACCTAACTGATACCATGTTGAAAATAGGCCTAATGTAAAGTGAAGTAAAAGGAATTAAGTGACTAAATAAATTAAATGACAAAAGTAAGGAAAAGTGAAAAACTTCACTGTTGTATATTCATCTAAAACATGTTACAAGTTTAATAAATATTAAATTACTAACTTTCTAAGAGTTAGTGTTATATTAAAATACTAACTAATTATCCTTATTTATCGCATAACCTACATCGGAAGATTCAGGGGGTTTACTGTTGGGGTCCTTCTCTGAGGTTGTTAGTCATGGTCCTCCTATAGTAGCTGAATTGTTGTCAGTTAAAAGGGGTTGATGTTTTTTATAGATTCCTACTGGTGCAATAAAGGAAGGTTAATATTACAATGTGATTAAAAATTAGGGATGTTGTCCTGCTTCGTTGAGCCTTGTTTTGCAGGAGATTGTATCTTTAGTTAGGGATAGGGATGTGATTGTTAGGCATATTAGCAGAGGGTCTAATTGGGAGGCGGATAAACTTGCTAAAGAGAGAATTGGTTGAGTGGGTTTTGTGTGTAGGAACGAGAGTTTGATTATGTGGGGTTCTTTGTATGCTTGTTAGTTGTAGTCGTATGGTGTATGATGTAAATTCTAATGTACTATGGTTATGATATTCAATAAAATTTTGAGAGACTCTTTTCCTCCTTCCAATGTCCTGTGAAATAGTGTATATTTCATAGGTTATGAAGGGGATTTTTTTAATGAGGTCTCTCATTTCTATAAAAAAAATGTATAGATTATTCAATCATGACCCTTCCCTTCTTCGACTCGGGGGTTTTCTCCGGATTTATCTGTTGGTTATCCTTCATTGCACTCGTTCCAACCTAGACTTGTTCAGGCTGCTCTTCCTGTTATGGGGAATAACAAAGATGTTATTCGTAGATCTCTTCTCATTTGACATCGATGACCAGAGGACTGAAGGAGCCCAATCAGGTTTTCCTTCATTTTCTATAGGTCTTTTAACATCTTTTAACATCTTTTAAAGGATTACTAATCTTAAAAAAAAACTAGATTATCTACGTAAAACCAAGATTCATGAGTACTACAAATTTAACTTTCTATACATTGTGGTTCTAGCTATCAAATACATGGGAGGATGAGCTCCACAATGTTGTTCAAATGAACTATGAAACTGGTACTCCTTCCGACAGCCTTAATATAAATGGTATTACTCCCTTTCATTAATGTCCTATCTCATAGGCTAAATGTTCTCTGATCTGATTAAAATTTATCTTATGCTTTTCCAGGGTCTCAACCATCCGATAATACAAAAGGACTTTGATCCTTCTCGTAAGGGTCTATGGCTCCATTCCGGGCAATTCATTATAGCTCTTCTTGTTATATATATGCTAGCATACTTGAAGGTAGCCAAGGGAATACGAACCACTCTTTTGAAGGTTGAAGTATAAACATACACTGTCACTATATATCTACTGTGCTCAATGTTCTTTAACCGTATGGTCTGTCAAAGGTCAAGTCAAAACATATTCCGTCACCATATGGAGATGTGGAACTCCTTTTGATCATGGGAATCTATTGGTTTCCTAGTCGGAGGTAAGGTGGATTAGAATGTATAGATTGATTATAGAAAGTTTTTGTGATATAGGAGTTACATGTTTTTATCTAGTAGTATAATGGATGAATCTCTTCTGTAATTTACAGATGGCTATGGGAAGTAATTTGTTCAGTTTAGATTGCATATATTCCTTCTCTTTTTTCTCAAGAAATGAAATTGTTGGCTAAGTGAATGTCGAATACAGATATATTCGATGCGGGTACTAATTTATTTGAAGTTATTCAGTAAAAGTGTCAAGTTAAAAAGGAAACAAAGTTAAGTACTGAAACTGTTGTTCTATATGACCAAATTAGAACAATGGAATTTATCAGAAGATTGATTCCTTTAATAAGCAGATTTTTTTCCATGGAAATCTGTAGCATTTAAGCAGGGGGCAAGAAATCATGGAAAGATGTCCGGGAAAACAATCATACTGTCTTATCCTTTACCTTTCTTGTCTTAGTCCTCATTTGAATTTAACATTGAATTTGACATACAAATCTGATACTCCCAAAGATATGAGATGTAAATCTATTGTATGATTCTATTTTATGACAATGAGGATGATAATAATAATGGTCCTATGGAATAATGTCTGACAGTCAAGGCCACCAACAATGAGTATAATATATTTATTACAGCTAGTCTCCCAGTTCAGGTAGGAACTGTATTCTGGATGTTTGACTGTGACATGTGGGAAATGCAGAATATTTTTTTTCTGTAAGATATTATTCGCCATTAAAAACTGTGAAGCTCTCAGTTCCACACTAATAAACGCCATTACGAGTACTATTTTGTATGATGAATCTGCAAGTATAAAATTAAGAACTATGAGAAGGCACCTCACTTGTATTCTTGTGATGATTTGATTGAATCTCCATCTTGCTGCTGATCCTTTATCATGTTGAAGAAAAACTTGGTTTGCAATAATTGGGAGATAATCAGCAATTACATGGTTTGTAAGTACACAGTTTAGAACTACAATTACCTGTAATCTAGCACATATCTCTAGAATTTCAGGTACAGGAGCCCAATCCCCAAAATTCCTCTCTATAAGCAGGTAAGCAATTCCATTTCCTCCTTGACCAACTATGAAAAGGCCACCCTTAATTTCACCTTCTCCTTTAAAATTCTGGTGTATTCCCAGAGCTTTTGCACGTTTATAGTTTGCAATAGCCCGAGGATTGAACAAAAATCCTGATAGAAAATTGTCTTTAAGTAGTTTCCCAACTCCAAGAGCTTTGAAGAACCCCATTGTACGATCCAATATCACAACCCCACCCCAATAGCGTGGCCAAAAGTCATTTACCTGCATCGAAAGTCGATATATGAGGGAAAAGGAAGTCACTGGAGAAAATATTTTGAATAAGTATACAAATCACCTCTGATTCTATATGTTCATGAAGAACTGCAAACATTTGGATTCCCAGTGCATCAAATATTGGCTTTTTGGCATAGAGCTGGTGAGCTTCAGCTCAGCACATGATGCACCTGTTATCATTGTGGCAACAAATGGAGACAGAAAAGCCAATCAATTTCAACATTTAGGTGATAAAACATAGTTTCTATGTCGGCAGTTTTAACTCTTTACCCTGGCCGTTGAATGCATAGGAGAACAGTCGGCTTATCCCGCCACAGTTCCGAAGCTTTCATTGGCGGAGTCATGGATTTCACCAAAGGCTCCATCCCTACCTTATACACAGGAGTTAATGTCTGAACCGATATGTTTTCAATAGCAGCATAAGGTGCCACACTGTCGACCACCGGAGGAGGTTGTACACAACCACAGGCTTGAGCCACGGCAGGTCCCGCAGCAACAATCCCTTTAAAGATGTATCCATCTTTAATCTTGAAACCAGCAAATGACTCTTCCGGCAACCTATCAGTGCTGCTCCTTCCAAAGGATTTTGCTATAGATTGAACCTGATGAACGGTGTTATTTCTAGTCGGTGTACCTGTGTTTTTCCTCGAGCCGAGGCCATAAGATTTCAGTAGAGGATCTGTGCATGCATCAGTTCTATCTTATAAAGATAACTCCTTGGAGCTCAAGTTAAGAAGCTGCGGTAGGCATTTCCTTGAGGCCTCTAGCTTATATCCATATTGCAGCAATGAACGATCATGAAGGTACGTTCTGATTTCCAGAGCATCCTGAAAGAACATAGAAACAAATCACCTGTTATATCAAATACCAAGTGATAAATTTATATCATTTAGCTAGCTAAAAAGATTATCAACCTTTTGATATTGTGTCATGTTGATTGCATCCATATCCTGAGTTCATGATCTTTAAAGTAATAACGCATCCCAGCCTTCTTCTAGTAGCTTTGGAAGCAATTCCTTAAGAACCCCATCACCAACTAAATCTTCTATTGAGAGAAGCCATTGTCTGCTGAAATGGGGAATGATTCATCCGTACAATGGCTATGGTGTGTATTAAATATGGTCCTGATATCCCATGTAGAGGTTTGATCTTATCTGGTTCTTTATTTTATTCGAGAGTTGCTTTAAGAAAATATTACTATAATCATCAGTTGAGAATTGCGATTAAACTAACAGAAATGAAACTCAAACCCAATCGGCAACTTTGGTTGTCAAGTTCGACTAAAAGAATAGTATAATATGTTGAAACGCTAAGCTTTTCAATGTCTTCTACATATTCATTGGTTGCTGGCGCAAAAGGAAGATAGCAAACAATAGCTAAAGGTTATCTGTTGAAGTCAGAACATTGCTTAGAAACGGTCAGAAGATGCTGATGGAGATTGAAAGGGAAACAGAAATAGACTCCAAAACATAAATATCACAAAACTTCAATTAAATGCTTCAGAACCTCACGTATAACTAAAACTTTCATCCACCATAGGAACAGCCATGATTCATTATGACTGATCTCCTCAACTTTCCCAGCCAAACCCACAAATGTTTTTTTCTTTTCATCTGGTGATTCTTTGTCAAAAGTTTTATTTAAATTTTACATGACATTTTTAATCTTGCCAAGGATCACTCTCCGTCCTTACTTCCGATGGTTCAATAACTTGGTTCTCTGAGCCTTCTTCACTTGCACTCGCATCAGTTTCAGCAACACTAACTTCTGATTCTTCAACTTCATCCTCGTCCTCTGATCTACCCCATCTTCCTCCGAGTGCCATTGCCATCATTTCATATATCTTGTTACCCAACTCAGCAGGGCTGTCAGGCTGCATGATAAAGAGGACCGTAAGAAAAAAAATGTTTTACTTAAAATGTCTGCAAAAATGTTCAAAACAAAATGACCCAGTCAACTTACAGAAAAACCACTGGAGATCAATGCTGTATCATATAACAAGTCAACAGCTCTCTTGGCATCACTGCTTTCGGGTGCATTCTTGCATGCAGCCTGCAAGGAAAATAAACCTTACAGCTGTCAGAAGAAACAAAACAAAAGGGCAGCAAGTCTTGATATATCAACATTTCTGTAATAGTGGACCTCTAACAATCAACTCAACATTTTAATCACCACTACAGCTTGAACACCGTACAACTGCTGTGTCAAATCAGGAGCATGTATCTCATTAGTGCAACTACTACTATATGTCATTAATTCTACATAGTAGTTATCTGAACTAGTAGGGTTAAGTGCAATGCTGCCATTCTTTGTGCTTTCTTATGGTCTCGATGATAAGTTTCAACTGTTTTATCACATTAAAAGATACATATAGTTAAAAGAACGCTACATTAGAATATCTTCAATCAAGTTGAACTAAAATGGTCTTACATTCAAGTCTTTAATAATAGGATGATCTGGATTAATCTCCAGGATCCTCCTTCCCCTCATGAACTCCAAACTTGCCGTATCTCCTAGCGCTTGTGCTTTCATCAATCTGCATAATGAATTGAAAATATTAATCAAGCAATGTTAATGTATGTATCTAACTTATGGAGAGAAATAAATAAAACCTCTCACCTTTCCATGTTAGCTGACCATCCAAACTTGCCAGAAACAAGCACACAAGGTGATGAACTTAGTCGCTTTGAAATTTGTACTTTGGCCACCTTGTCCCCCAGTTGTTGCTTTATCCAATCACAGAGAAGATTGAATTCTTGTTTGGTTTCCCTCTCGTTTACCTCATCTTCATCACCTGGTATAACAACAAATTCCATCAGATGTGCATCAGCCATCTGAAATGAAGAATAAGGCCTCCAAAGAAAGACGTCCCTCCAACCAGAAAGTACATAATTTAAAAAAAAATACAAGACACAATAAATACTAACCGAGCTCCAAGTCTTCCTTGCTAATATCAACAAATTTCTTCTCTTTGTAGGTCTGCAGGTTTTGGATGGCAACCTCATCGATGGGCTCAATTAAATAGAGAACCTAAAAAGAAGCTATATCAGTTATTATAATGGAACAAGAAAAAACGTGCTAGTAATAACAAGAATAGATTATTTGATTTAACAGTTGTACTTTCGGTTTTACAGTCTTCTATTGTTCCTATTTGTTTACTGCTAAGAAGTTTGTTATACCGTACATAGACTTGCCTACTTTCGCTGTAGGATAAATTGATTCATCCAAAAAAATGAAAGCAATAAAAGAACCTCTGCCATCCTATCTACTATATCAATCAACCAACATTTAACTAATTTCTATTAGGGTAATTTACTAGACTATCTATCAATTTTAGCCTGAAAACTGGAAATGCTCCATATGCCACGTGGCAAATTAAAGACATGAAGTCTTGGATTATTTTGACCCTTACAAATCCAATACCAAATCAACATACATACCTCAATGTCTTTTTGAACCAATTTCTCCAAAAATGGAGCAGTCTTGGCACTTTTCAAGCTGTCAGTTGCCAAGTAATAAATAGCCTTTTGATTCTCTCCCATATTTTCAACGTACTCATCCAAACTTGTCAATTCCTCTTCATTTTTTGATGTGTAAAACCTAAGTAATGGTGTTATACGCTTATGATTACCAGTGTCTTCAATGCATCCCAACTTTAGGAACCTGCCAAAGTTCTCCCAGAACTTTTTGTAATCCTGTAATCAAGTTCACCATAGTCCAAGTTAGTAGATAAAGTTCAGGTTAGCAATGGTGAAAAAAATACGGCTTCCAATAAAACAATATACCTCTTTATTTTCACTTTCAGAAATTTCTTGAATCATGTCAAATGTTTTCCTGACAAGCCTCTTTCTCATAATTCTCACCTAATACACAATAACCATTGTATATTCAATATGGCAACATAATAATAATTGATAAATAGTTAGCAGAGTTGGTCATAGACCCTAAACTGAATAAAAAAATACTTTTGGATTAACATACACACATGAGGAAGTAAAATACGACTAAAGAGAAGTATACAAAATTAATCTTACAATACGGCTTTCTTGGAGGATCTCTCGAGAAACATTAAGTGGAAGATCATCAGAGTCCACAACACCCTTCACAAAGCTCAAGTATCGTGGAAACTGCAAAATAACATTAAATTCAAATACAAGTTAAAACCTGATAACACATGGAGAGGCTATATGTATCATCACAGTCATGTACAGTACACAATCCAGCCACCTTGAACAAGAGAACAAGGTAAAAGAAATTAAACAATCCTTTTCCTTACACTATGAGAATATCCAGAATTTATACTTTGTTTATAGAAGAGAATGTCTTTGATTGTCTTATACAAGTTGAATGTGGAAATACTTTTCCAGTTCAAAATATCAAAGAACACTCTAATGAATTTATCATAAAGATGCAAGAAATGGATGGAGAACAGGATATCAAACCAAGCTGAAATAAATTAGTCATAAAATTTCTTAATAATCCAAAATTTATCCAATAAAGAACCATGATATAATCTCACAAGTCATTCTGGCAAAAGCAAATATTGCAAAAACAACTATCAGGTGACCAGGTTAAAACTTACCAGCTCTCCATCAAAATCATCTGAGATAAATACACGTTTCACATACAAGCGTATGTTCTTTGTTTTTGGGTTTACTACGTCCTCATTGTTCAGAGGACCCATGCCGGGAATGTACAGAACACTCCTAAACTCCACCTCACCCTGCATGATATTCAAAGGAACTTTAATGACTACTTACACATAGGGAGTCAATTCATAAAGTACAGTTGCATGCATACCTCGGTAGTGAAGTGAGTATATCCAAGTGGATCCAAGAACTCATTGAAAGTCTTCTTGTAGAATTCATTGTACTCTTCTTTTTCAACTTCCTTAGGATTACGCATCTACAAAAGACATATGAAAATAAAGTGACATTCTCAATAAAAAGGAGCATCTTAAATTGTATATTAGTGAGCAGAAATAACAAAACTCACCCATATTGGTTTTGTTTCGTTTGCTAATTCCCAGTCCCAATACTTCTCTGTTTTAGTTGTCTTCTTTTTCTTCACATCCTGTCAACAATAACATAAGCCAACCATAACACCATGTTTACCAAGAAGATAGTTAGCTAATTGCTAGTAACAATTATATAAGAAAGCAATGGCAAGGCACCTCTGGCTTTACTTCTTCTCCTTCTTTTGGTGGTTCTTCCTCCTCTACCTGCTCAAAGATAAAAAATAATAAAGAACGGTTAAAGAGGTACTTCTCAATAAGCTTAGAATTGAAGTGCTTATAACAAAACAAAACCTGGCAGTAACACCTTTAAAATAGACAAATCCTGTTAATTGTTTTTATATATAATTACAAAAATCAAACAAGATAAGGGTTTTTAATCCAGTTAAAACAACTTGGACCATCCGTTGAGAAGGAAGAAACGATATCTAAATTATAACATAAGCATGCACGCTAACCTCAACTGTCCTTGATTTTTCTTGCCAAGTGTAGATAGGGAAAGAAACAAACTGGGAGTAATTCTTCACCAAATTCTGAATTCTGGCGGGATCCGAGAATTCATACTTGTCATCTGACTGCAAGAGAACAATATCTTAGACATTTAGCACTTAGAATAATTGTTAATTTGAAGAACCAGGAGCTTCTAAGGCAATTGTAACACTAAACGCTTCATTGAAACCTCAATTCTATTTACTATCTTCATTTAATATTTAAACATACAAATGCAAATACATTAATAGGATGTAAAGGAAGAAAACTAATGAACAGATATAGTACCCTTAAGTAAAGTGTAATCTGTGTGCCACGGGCTAGAAGCTTTTCTGGATCAGTTTCCTCGCTAATCACATAGGAGCTGCTGTCTGCTGCAGCTTCCCAAACATATTGCTTCTCTGACTTTGGACTCTTTGTGGATACAACAACCTTTTCAAGAAACAAATAAACCAGCAACCCAATCACCATTTGCATGAAAATTATTGAACAAAATGGCTTCTAGCGGAAGCTGAAGATGATAATGTAAATTATCAATTATGCTGACAGCCGTCTACCTTCTCAGCAACAAGAAAAGCAGAATAGAATCCAACACCAAATTGACCAATCAAACTATTGTCTGCCCCGAGATCCTGATTTTCCTACAAGTAATAAGATTATGAATAAGTAACCATAATTATTTTCTTTATTTTATAAGAGAAATATTTAAAAATGAGGAAGAAATTACCTTAAGAGCCTTAAGAAATTTAGATGTACCACTTTGAGCAATTGTTCCAAGACAGTCAATGAGTTCTTCTTTTGTCATTCCAATACCCGTATCTCTGAAAAACCATTGATTTCTTTTCTATTTATATAAAGTCCTCTACATATAATTTTTGTCAGGAAGAGAAGTCATAAAAATCATACGTTATAGTGATAGTCCCGTTATCTGGATCGGGTTTGATGCGAATCTCTAGTTCTCCAGCATCTCCAAGCAGAGAAGGCTCAGTCACGCTCAAGAATCTAAGCTTATCTAAAGCATCACTCGCATTACTGAAGCACCAAAATGGAACTTTGTCAATTGCCTAATCTCTAGGTTGAAACAATGAGTGAAAATCTATGAAGCCAAACGTTTTGAACGAAAACTGAGTCTTCATTTACGCTCACCTTACAAGCTCTCTCAAAAACACCTCTTTATGGCTGTATAGACTGTGAACAATCAAATCCAATAAGCGACTAACCTGCAATCATTTGTGACCTTGTATTAATTTCAGAATAGAATATAGAGGATAAAACATTTTCAATATAAACAAGCATCTACCTTTAACCAACAAAAGTTCAATCCAACAATAAGTGTAATTTTCAAGTGTCATAATACACTAAGTGGCAGAATTTTCCTTCATTTTCGAATGAGTCCACTACATAAATCCATAAATATCCCCCCAAAAGAGCAAAACCCATGAAAAGAAAAGGAAACCCACCTCGGCTTGGTACTCAAATTTCTCCCCGGAGGTCTCTTCAGCCTCTTTCTCAGCCACTGCCGAAGCTTCACAACGAAAAGCTATTCGGTTGTTTCTCTTCTCAAGTTTCCACCTCAATCCAGTGCAAGAGAAGGCCTTGGTTAGGCCATTTGGAGGTAGAAAAGCGCTTCTGAGATTGAAGGCCTTGTTGGGGTGTGTCAAAGGGAGAGAGGCTAAAGATGGAGTAGCTAAACTTCTACTTAGGACTGGAGCCATGAAGGGAAAGACTTTAGAGAGATAGCTAGTCGAACAAGAAGATAAAGTTTTGCCAACTAAAAACCCTACCGAGAAGAAGAGAGAAAAGGGGGGGGGGGTTAAGGGAGAGAGTGGAAGGTTCTAGAAATCGGGAAACAAGTGGGGAAAGTTTTGGTTTTTCTGGGTTACTTCTTGCTTTCGGAATTGTAAGGCTTAGATTCGGCCATTTCAGCAACTTACTACTACAATATTATCCTTGTTTTCTTCCTTGTAATTGTAGCTTACAAATAATAATAAGACTTAATATAAAAATTATCTATATTTTTCTTCTCATATTCAGGTGTTTTAATTTTTTTTATCAATCAAGTGTTTAACACTATAAACATTATTAGTTGAAATATTTTGATTATAACAATTGTTAAAAGATTTCGTCAATTTTTTTTATCAATCAAGTGTTTAACACTATAAACATTATTAGTTGAAATATTTTGATTATAACAATTGTTAAAAGATTTCGTCAAATGACACGTATAGCATTCATGTAATTTTTTAAATTTTATTTAAAATAAAAATTTAAAATTATTATTTAAAAAAAAATTCTCAAATTTTAAAAAAACTCCTATTAAAAACCTTAAATCCAATCTCAATACTCACATCAACTATGGTCGTTTACCGCCATTATCTTTGATCGAACTTTTACATGACTACAAGATATCGATGACCCAAAATCCGATGACACCCACGCAACCCAACCTAAAAAGACTTTAAAAAATCGCGACCCAACAACAATCGTAACAATAAGAATGACGACGATCGACAAGAGAGATGACAAGGACGGTAGCGGCATCGGTGATCATGGTCGGCAAGGAAGATGGTAAGGTTAGAATAAGATTTTTTAGGATTTAGTTTTTATTTTATAATTTTAGAGAAATTAATTTTTTTAAATATAAAAATATTTTTAAGCTTTTTTAATAAAATTTTTAAAATTACTTGAATGTCATTTAATATAATTTTTTAACGGTTGTTACAGTCGAGACACTTAAAATGATAACGATTGTAATGCTACACATTTGAATTAACAAAAAAATAGACATTTAAATAAGAAAAGAAAAATAATTTAGAGTATTTTTTATATTAAGTCTAATAATAATGATAGTAAAGTATAGGAAAATGTTAATTCCTGCTGCTGATATATAATTGAACCCAAGACAGAGACAAAGGGTGACATTCGTACCACCAAAACAAATTGACATTTCAAGGATCATGTATTCATTTTATATTTACCTCTTTGGATTATAACTTCATCAATCATGTACTCATTTCAAAGATCACGTTTTTATCTATTTGGTCATTTTCATTAAAAATTATGTTTATGTTGATTAAAATTACATGATTTTGAGTTTGATTATTTTAATCTAATATATAAAAAATAAAAATTAACATAGAACACGATTTAATAAATACGAATAACATATAAACAAAGAGAAGCAAAAGGGAAAAAAAAGCAAATTTAACTGAAATGGTTAAAGTTGAGTAACCATCATCAAGCTATTTAAAATGTTCATAAGAATAAACCTTTACAAGGATAAATTAAGTTTAAATTCGACATGTACAACAATAATCTTAAGTTTACAAGCAGTAACGGATCCATAATTTTTTTTTTAAAGATAGGCACTAATATATTAATAATATAATATTTTTATATGAGATAGACGTAAATAAATTTTCAGAGAAGATACAATTAGTAAAACCATGAACACGGTTGCAGTAAATTTAGACATATTCTCCTACTCCTTGAATCTATGTGCTTATTCTTCCACCCTTTATGCGAGTTCCTGAAATTAGACCTGTTAATTTTTATCCGAATCTGAAAATTCAATCAGATACCTTGATTTAATCATCAAAATTCAACAAGAAACCCGATCGTTTTATTAATAAAGGATGTGATTATTATATACATATAGTTTGGGATGAAATTGAAATGTTCAAAAAGTTTGGGACTAATTTAGGATGAAAGCCAATTTAGAATGATAATTATAGTTTAAGGATAGAATTGAAACATTTAAAAGTCAAATAACTAATTTAAAATTAAAATCATAATTTGAAGATGTATTATGCAATTAACTCTTTAGTTTAAATATATAAAAAAAAACCTAGATTCTTGCCTTCTTCCTTGCTCTTCCAGCTTTGCTCTCCCTGCCAAGTATTAATGGAGGAATACTGAGTGTTGAAAAACCCTAGACTCTGTTCAGCACAAAACATAAACAAAGTGCTTCAGTGAGACTAGAAAATGCGATTTCCCATCTTTATTTTTTTTCACCTGAAACATCTTCCTTCTTCTTGGTGCTTGGTATAGAAAGTCGAGCTACAGCTACATTTCCTTTTGACTGGTTCAAAGACACAAAGTGAAGCAGAAATTGCAGATTAGTTTAACAAGGAGATTGCAACTTCATATCTTATCTACATGGATTCTTACTGGGTGTTCCTGGCTGAACCTAAGCTTCCTTGGCACAAGCAGTGTGTTTGCTGCACATGATGGAAGCATTGAACACACATTGTTAGATATCATACACATGATTAGAAACATATACCTTTGTAGTTTACCTTGTTCATTTGATGATTGCAGGCAGGTACAAGGTGTTTGCAATGCGAAAAAGAAAAAATAAAGCACACTAATGAACATCCCTCTCAGCTCCATATCAGTTTTCTCTCAAGATTTCTGAGCATGGGATTGTTTTTATATGGAAGGGGAACCCCATCTACAAAGAAGAAAGAGACGAAGAGCAGACACAAAGCACAAAAATGCAGAGTTCCAAAACACGTAATTACAAGCAAAAAAATCATAAATATATAGTTTGCCTTTTAAGAGGCTTCACACCTGATACAGGTCGTTTGATTACTAATTAAAACATTATTTAATTAAGAGTTAATTGCATCAAACATCCTTAAATTATTATCTTTATTCTAAATTGCTCCCTTAACTTTCTAATCTTCTAATTTCACCCCTAAACCAGTCCTCAAACTTTTAAACATTTCAATTTCAACTCAAACTATTAGTATATGCTAATCACATCCCCTTTAATAAAATTGTTAGGGCAAGCTATATTATTATATGTTTGAAAAAAAATTAGGTTGAACTATTGTTGAAACTAATTATTTATTTGGATGAATTTAGGGATGGAATTGAAATATTCAAAAGTTTGAGAACCAATTTAGAATGAGGGTCGTATTTTGGATATGAAATTGAAGTTTCAAAAGTTTAAAGACTGATTTAGAATGAAAATAAAATTAGAATATTTTAAAATTCAAGGACAAATTCAAAATGAAAATCATAATTGAAAAAAGTGTGCTCTTGAATTAATTACTTTTAAGAATCACCTTTAAATCAATGTCAATACCAATTAATATTTCCCTTTGTTTTATCATAGCAAAGCATATTTATATCTCATCAAAAAGCATCAAATACGCTGCTAAATTTAGCAATTTAGGGTTTAGGGTTTTAAAAGTAATTTAGGAGCTTTTAAAAGCATATTAATTATCACCCCATAATTTTATTTTGCCTTAATAGAGAAATATGATGTAATTCATTCTTGGCATTTTTTTAATTGAAAATCTCTATACCCCAGTTTATGTTTATTGATGCTTTAAAAAAGTTCATAAATCAACCTATTTCTACGGTTATTAGCATATAATATAATATATGGTAAACTATACAAATGGTCCTTGACTTTTAGGATGCATTTTAATCATTATTAAAATTTACAATACAATCATTGAACTTTTAATTCGTTATTATTACAGTCACTATAGACATAGTCAATTATTGTTAAAAAAAAATTAAAGTGGCACGTTGAAGTCTATTCTTTTCTTTCTATTTCATTTTCTCTTTAAAAAAAACCTTAAGCTTCTAATTTGGCAGTCGTCATTCGAATCACCTAAGTTATAGTCATCTGAAGTTGAACTATACTTAAGAATTTTATTATCTTCCTATGATCTTCGAGCCATACTCAAGAGGTCCACCATCTTCCCACAATTGTTGAACCATTCATCACCATAATTTCATTCAAGCCCCAAATATAACCAACCAAACCAAACAAAATTTGATCCACCATTACTGATCTTATTCGATCATCGTCCACAATCATAATCATCAATAACACAGTATAATAAGAAAACAACAAAAATAAGCAAAGAAGTAAAGGAAAAATAAAAGGAAAACTACTCATATCGAGCTTGGTTAGTTTTCAATGAACAGACGATAGTCGATATAATCCCAATAGTGGAAAGGCTTTGCTTGGCCAAAAGATGCACATAGTATGGTTTCAAACTAATTTAGCGGTTGACAGTTGCTAATAGAAAAGTTTTAGCTTTTAGTTTCGATTGAGATTTGAGGAGACTGAAAGATGTTCTTACAAATTTCAATCGAAAGAAAGAAATAAATAAAAGGAGTAATTCGATGGTCTTTTCGATAAAGAAAACCCCAAATGATGACATAAATAACAATAAAAGGAGCCAAAGGTTTGGTACTACTAGTTGACCTTGGATGAATCTAAACAGAGGAACTGAGAGAGGAAAATAAGTGGAATTATGCAATGACGACGTCAATCGAAAGAACGTCATATGGTGACGACGCATGTGATATGAGCGATAACTTCCAATTTGGAAGGTTAGGATATTTTGATGGGAAAATGAAATAAAAAAGAGACTTAAGCGTGTCATATTAGCTTTTCTTAACGACAACGAAGGGTTGTGTCCATAGTAATAGCGAATTAAAAGTACAATGATTGTATTGTGAGTTTTAAATGTTTGATGACAAATACAAACACCTAAAAGTTTAGGGGTCCACTTACTATAATTTGCTCTATAATTTAGTATAAACTATATTAAAATAATAAAACAAAAAATTGAATGACACATTGGAAGAATACAAGGTAGTCAGATAAAAGGTAAAAGAAGACAGGGAAATAATGTTAATTTTGGAGTTTGGAAGTAAGGCTTTTTGTTTTTCAATGACAAAACACGTGCATGTGTAGTAAAATCCATGAAAGGCCAGTGATGAAATGAAGAACGAGGACAACAGGGTCCGACTGCTTGACCAAAATAACAAATTAACAGGCCTAAACTATCATTATGATGATTAATTATTACTTATATATTAACAAATTGCAGCTGTTAAAAAACTGTGAGTTCAACCTCCACAAGGAAAATCAACTCCAATATATATTTATATATTCAATTGTTCAGGTGATAGATGACAGTTGCTTCAAGCACCCTTTAACATAATGGCATCCTATGATATCATATTTGGTTTCTTGGGTGAGTGTATATGAATTCATCATTATATTTGAGTATTGTTGATAAGAGGAATAGGGTTGTGGTGATTTTTTACGATTCACCTTTCCTGGTTTAGATAAAGAATCATAAACGATTATTTAGTTGAAGAGAAGGGAGAGTAAGTGAGTTGAAAATGAAAAGTCGAGAGAGATCGAGAGAAAGTGTGATCATCTCCTTCTCTTGCATGATAATTTATATATAGGTCCTTAATGTTGGGGTCATGACTAGGGTGATGATGGCTATTGCATGGTAAATAGATCTTGATGTCAGATAGTAGATTTAGCTAGTCGATTACTTAGGGTGATTTAACTGTAGATCACTTGAGCCTAATAATGGGTTATATCAATGAGCTGTAACTGATCAAAGAATATGGAACTCCAGAGAATTTGGGATTCGATAGATGGAGAAATGACATTAAAAATGTGACTTACAGGAGGGGTCTAGCGAAGGTACATCAAGTATGTTAAGTATAGAATGCAAATATTGTAAAGAAAATGAAAAGTTCAAATAACATAGATCTATCACTTACATCCGGTTAACCCCTTGATTGTTATTGTTCTATTATCTCTGTTATTTAACTGTGTCTTCAAGCTTCCTTACAAACTTGTTCATAATCATAATCATAAAGCATGTTTGGTGTTGAAACAAAAAGTCTTAATTATGAACATGAAAGTGAAAACCAAAAACAAATACTATAATGATATATGAATGTTATAGGGTATTGCTTGCAGCTCAATTTGCATGCATGGGATTGAAACGCCAAGCAATTACACTCTAAAACCTACAGCCAATTACACGGCTAACGACAGGTAAAGGGATTATGTATATAACTTGATAAGTGAAAATAATAAAAATTTGTATAACCTACGATCGACTAGAACTTCTCAGAATCTACAGCAAAGAAGGCCCTGCCTCCAACCCTTATGCTTCCGGTAATGTGTCCGATCCGCTTTTGCCATCCTTACTGGACTGCTATTCCATTCAGACTGCAATCTGAAAAAAATAAAGGTAATAGTTGCGCATTGGTTATAGACGAAGAAGTTAGGAGCAAGAAACAAATAGTTGCTGGTAAATTACATTGGGAAGGCGAAGGAACGAGTGCTTGTTGTGCTGCTATCTGATCGAACAGAGAGACTGCCTGAATACGCTATTGGCCCAGAGTAACTTATTAGACCTGTTACCGGCCCTGCAGCAGAGAAACTAGACTCCCCATATCCACTTTGAAGATTGTTTGAAAAAGGCAGATCAGTTGTACCTTCAAGCTTGGGTGCACCTCCAGTCTCGGGAGGTTCACGGTCAAGATTGTGGCATCCCTCATCTTTGCAGTATATTGGTGCAGAAGAAAGAGAGCCAAATGCGATGCTTTGAGCAACCAGTTTGTTATCATCACATACCTCATCGACAAGGCCATTGCTGGTAGATTTCTCAGAAGCCGAGGCCTGAGCAGGGCTAAACCTGGTAGCTTCCCCTTTCCCACTGTCCAATTCTTCAGCTACAGAGCCGGATGCAGCAGCAGATAGAATTGTTTTCTCGCCACTATTGTTTAGTTCTTTATCTGCAGAAACCAAAGGAGCTGTCACGGTATCTTCTTTTTCCCTTGAATTCTGCATAAAAATCAAAATGTATCCATGTTACTTCTTAAGATGTGAACCTAAATGATTCCCAACTTAACACAGAGTATAATTATTAGAAAAGTGGCGCCTTTGATGCTAAATCCAAACATGAATGCAGAAATCAGAAGATAAAATGTAATCATGCATGTTTCCTAGCATACATAGGTGAATCCGTATTGTTATTTCAAGGAATTTCAACATAGTAGTACGGGATTTTTGGAACTTTGACCAAGATAAGTTTACCTCAAAGCACTGTTGCTCGATTCCATTACTTTTGTAATCAGAAGCCATGGCATTGGAATTCACTGTGCTCAATTCTGGCATGGAAAGCAACTCTCCAAGGGTAAACACCTCTTTTGGGACATCATTTGTGCTAATTTTCATTGCATCATCCTTCATTTCCGTTGTCAATTTCAAATCCTTAGAATCACATCGACTAAGAATTCCCTCGTTAGGCTCATTTTCTTCCAGAGATAAGGAAACATCTGGCGTACATATATCAGCATGGAGACTTTTATTAGAACCACATTCATTGTCAGTATCATTGTCCGTTTCACTTTCTTCAGGAGGCATGGAACCAACTTGCATGGATATATCACTCTCTGATTTTTCTTTCATCGGTTTACTGTCTTGATCGTTTTCAGAGGGGAGAAAGTTGGAATTGTTCTTCTCATTCACCCCGCTGTCAAACAAGAACTTGTCCTGAGTCGGAACTCCCTCATCGATGCAGATGTCCTTGACAACATGATATGTACCCTCTTTATAGCAAACTACCAATTCGGGCAATGAACATTCCATCACACTTTTGTCCATATAGAAAACTGAGTCCCGAAATGAATCCAGATTGTTCGAAGAATGAGAATTCGATGTCACAAAATTTCTGGCCTCCTTTTCATCAGCATTGGCAAAGTCATTTGCACTCATAGAACAATCTAGTTTTCGTGCTGGCCATCCATTCCCTGTCTTCTCCGAAACCCCATCATTTCCCTTTTTATCAAGCATTAGTCCATTCTGATCACCCTTCATAAATCCTTCTGCATTCAGTCCAACGGAAGCCGGAGGCTTTTCTTCGTTCTCTAAAGAATTACAGCAATCCAACTATATGCACCAAAAATTAAAGCCCTATAAGACCAATCCACGGTTCGGTTTACAATCCAAAAAAAATGTGTGCTAATAATTATCCAAATATATACAGCAATAACAGTGTGAAGAGATTGATTCATGTTAGGCTCACCACGTGGAATCTTTCTTTAGTAAGTCCTCAATATACAAAAAGACGAGGGGAGAAAAGGAAATGTTTAACTTTTCCAAAAGCCTCCATAAACCTTCAACCCCTTTAAACCGATTTTAAAACCCTAAAAAACGACTTTTCCATCTCTAATCAGATCTAACACATCAAAATTATTATTTATAATAAATATCCCAGATTGGTTTAACTCTCAAACACATGAAAAACAAGTAGTGAAAACCAAAAGGAGAGAATTATCAGTGACCTGAAGCAAATCCCAGCAAATACAAAACCCCAAAAAACAGAGTTAACAAAATAATTAATATAAGTTACAGTTATGAAGTACCTTTCTCTGTTGTCGTCTCCGTTGATTAAGAGCTCGAACTTCCACCAATATTCACTGCAAAGAAGCCAAGTAAAAAGAAAAAAAAACCAAGGTTGTAAATGAAACAAAGGGGATCTAAAGAGAGAAGAAGCTTTGGGTGTGTTTTCAAGAGCGGATTCTCAACAGCAGATGAAAGAGAAATAGAGTAAAAACTAGAAAGTGAAATAAATAAATGAGAGATTTGTAATCATCCAAAAAAAAACATTGAAATAAAACGGGTCAAAAGTCAAATCTATACACGTATCTGCTATTAATTGCCATGGCAAACCAAACAAACGGCTCTGTTTTCCTTTTTTCTGATCTTTTTTGGGTGACTTTCTCCTCACAACAACTCTTTCATTTATTACACTCAGTTTCAGCATTAATTATCCCCAACCCATTTTTAGAACTTTATTAAACACAATGTAACGCCGCTTTACCTGATATTTTGATAAGAAAATTGGATCAAATTGTCCTTCCAACCAAGCAGAAGCAGCAACAAAAGAAGGGGGAGAAATAAAACCCAGAACAATCTTTCTCTCTTTTTTTTCCTTTTCCTTTTCCTTTTGACTTTATTCTTTTTGAATTGTTCGAAGCCGACAAAGATGTCCGAAACCTGAGCTCTGTTCTTCAAGTCAAAACGCTTTTGTTTGTTTGTATTCCACCGGAGAAATCATCTGCAAGCCGGCAGAGAGAATAACAAAAGGGAAGTATCAAGTTGTTAGTGTGAAACCAGTGATGATGATGAAGATTGCCGTGATTTCGTCTACACGTGTTCAGTTTGATAAAGGATGGTCTAATTTTGATTTTAGTCCTTCCACTGTACTAAATTTCAGATTAAATCTTTATATTATTTATTTATTTATTTTGATAAATTCTAAATCTATCCTAATCCTACTTAGAGGAGAAGGGAAGGGGACTCTAAGAGATGGAAAGAGGATACTAATAGCGGGTTTAAAACTCATGATCTAAGGAAATATAAGAGAACAAATATGAACAACTTGGCCAATCGACCAAATATACTTGCTCAACATAAAATCTAATTAATCTTATCAAACTAATGATAAATTCATGTCAATCTAATGTTTAAAGTTGTTTGAATACATTTTTTTGTGTTATCATTTTAATAATAATAACAATTTTATCAATTTGAACTTATTAATAATAAGGTAAATGCAAAGTTTGATCCTTGAATTTGATAAATTGAAATATTTAATTGGATAAAGAAATCATAAGTACAGAATCAGTCCAAGAAATCAATTTCATTCATTCACATAGTGTTAATTGGATCAAGAAATCAAGTTTAGCTACACGATTAGACCAAAAAAAGAGCATAAAGTTAATTTTTGAAGCCAAATTTAGATACCAAGATGTATATTTTAGAATACTAGGGTAATTAAAAGCAGAATTAAACCTTAAAGGAGACCTTGAGTTGTCATTTTCCTTCGTATTGTTAAAGCCCTAAAGGGGATAGTGGCTAGAAAGAAAGCTCATCGTTTAACACTTTCTGCTTTGTGGGGGACCAAACACACGATTTAGATGATCTTACGAATGGGTATATGACACGTGTACCGAATTAAGGAAGTGATAAAATGCGCCGAGAATAACGTACAACCTTTTTCTTAGTTGATGTAAATATCCTTTGGTGAAGGGGTGGGACACGTAGATGAATGGTGACGTAAGTAAGTAATGGAAAACAGAAAAAGGTTAAAATAGATGGTAAGGGATTTCTGGATTTGGCAAGGTGCATTTCGGATCCTCCAACTAACTTTGTATCTATTACGTGTCACTATTTTATAGGCTAACTCAATCCTTGGACTCAAACCATATTTTTACAAATATATATACATATATATATATATATATATAATTTTTAATTTTAAATTTTAAATTAATAAAAATATCAATTATTATAAGAAAATGTTTATTTCAACCTCGTAAGACTAAATATTTTAAAAAGATAATATTGTGTTTCATTGATCACCATTCTTGTCTGATTGGGGATTGGGGATAGTAAAATAGTAATAAGTGAAATTCTGGAGCTTGGACGGTTAAAGATAGCATAAAATAAGCAAGTGAAGTAACAGTTTCACATGGTGTATATTCTGTTAACGATGCTGCCACTTCGAGATCTCAACTGTTTTGTGTTTATTTTAATTTTAAAAATACTGCTTACATGGATAGAGAGATTATATTTGCACTCAATTCAAGTACCGATTGGGATTGATGGACTTTGAATAATAAAGTAGTCTTAACAACCATATAATTTTTGTCTTATTCCTTCTTCTGCAAAATTGATAACTCGGCGCTTTCAGGTTTCCTACTAGTTTTACAATATATATATAAAGATATTATAATATAAAAATAAAAAAAAAACTATATATTTTTAATAAAATAAATAATTTAAATTAACAATAAAGTAATAGTTTTTTTTTATAAAAAAGAAAAAAATATGATTTTTCTTAATATAAAAAAATAAAAAAATGTAAATTTTTAGATCATAAGTATTTTTCTAACTTGAATTGATTCTATATTTAAAATATTTTTTTGATAATAATACTAAACTAACCCTAAATAAAGTAATTAAAAAACATCCATTTGAGTTGGTTTAACTTGATGCAAAGACGGACCCAAGACAAAAATTCAGAGGTTGTAAGAGCGTCAGGGATGACGCTTTTGAGGGGTGACACTTGTATTAAGGGTGACATTTGTGGAGGGTTTGCTTGAGATACCCCCGAAACCATGGAGGTCCGCCCCTGGATGAAGGGTTGCCTGAGATACCCGAGCACCATAAAGATCCGCCCCTAACTCGATGATATGATAAAAGTGTCATGAAATCTGCCCATTCTCCTATCTTCAATAGTTTTTTAAACCAATAAGAACCCAGATAGTTTATAGTTGTTCATATTAAAAATCCAAAAACAACAAAAACCAGGCAAGACACAATCTCCGTTGCCTGTATGTGTGGGGTACAAAATCTGCTGAATTCTGCCCCATTTTGGTCGGCCAATTCCCTTGCTTTTTTGGCAGCTGCACAACTCCTACAAATCACTTTCCAGGTGGGGGTTTTGACATGTATGTTATGGAGCAAAGATTAATTTTATTTTTATTCATCATTAACATAAATAATTCTATATGGATACTTCCAAGTCATATGTTTAGTACCAAAAGTCCATGTAATGATCAGCTTGAGCCTAAGCTCTAAAAAGAACAAGGACTGGATATAAAAATACAAAGCATGAAGTAATAATGAATCAACAGCGCCTTTTTCAATCATCCTCGTATGAGCTGCTATTCAGTGTCGTATAATTTGCTTCACGACCAAAATTGTACAGAAGCTGGCTGAATAACTATAGTATATAATCTGTATCTGTCAATCTACTGCATCGACAAAAACCCCTTGCGCAGCTATCGCTAGGGAAAAGTGGTCCATCCAAAACCCGACATCAATCAAATAAAATCATTTGGCTTTCCGATTTTAATGTTCAGCTCACCTAAATATGCAGTAATTGCATTTTTCTGCCAGCCCTTCAAACTCCTGAAATCAGGAATAAGCATTAAGAGGCATAGAGAAATGGTATCCAACATGTGCTCAAGCTTGGAGAAATTATAGCAGATAATAAGCATGGCTGACAAGATGGAAGATACCAATGGTGCATAGATGGGTTTCAACAATCATTTAGAATCCATTATCTCAAGCAGACACTGAAAATTGTTTGAAGTGGCCAAAGAAAAATGAAAATCCAGGAGTCACTATGTACCCTATTTTGAAATTTTATACTTTCACAATCCATTGCATTGTCAAATGGAGCACCGAGTCTTGAAAAAAATTTAGAACCAACAAGGTATTTGCAAGCGTGTCTATAAAAGAAGTGCTCTACGACTCGAAAGCTAGATGGGGAAAGGCACACAAAGACCTTTTTTTACTTTACATACCTTTTTTTCCCTTTCTAGTTCTCCAACCCAAACTTCAAGACTCAGTGACACAAGTCAGTGTATGTTGCTCAATATAATCCAGCTAAAAACTACAGATAATGAGCATGCAACTCCTGGACACTCGGTCACTCGGTCCTATATTGCTTCTAGCTGTAGCAAAATACTTGGAAATATTTTACGAATATACCAAATTGTTAAGACCACATGTTTCGATTAATAGTGGAACTCGTCGTAGGGAATTCCAGACCAAAAATCAAGTTTCCTACTAAGTAAAGAATATTAATAATATAAATACTCACAAAAGACATCTCCTAATACTTCTAACAAAATACTAATAAACTGATAAACTAATAACTATAAGATAATTAACACGAATACTAATATAGGCTACAAAAATAACCCGTAACATATTTCTAAATTAATAATCCAACATATAACCAAAAACATTGACGATATAACCACGACGTCATTCAATAAAATTATCAGTAAACTTACTTATGATCAAGATGCGCCAAAACTTCCCCGCCAGGGAAAGCTGATTTTGTAGCCTCAAATGCAACTTTAATTGATTGCTTCCATGTTCCACCAATACCATCTGTGTTTCCATTTACCTTTGACTGACTTGGATCTTCCATTGGTATACAATATCCAGAAAGCAGGTGGCCTACCCAAACACCTTCTTTTCTGCAATTGGAAGTTTAAATTTAAAGATAAGGTTAGTAATAGGGAAAAAACCTCTTCCAAACACTTTTTTCTTTTTCCTGGAAACAGGAAGAGAACAAAAAACTTCGAAGGCATGCTGATAAGTTCAACATAAGGGAGATATGGGAAAGCAGAAAAACAATTTCAAGAATGAGGGCTGCAGGCACATACAGAAAAGCTAATGATAAGAACTACTTACAATACTATATCCATGTGCCTAGGAGCATAGTGCCCACCACCAATTCCGAGAAGCACTTTCTTTTTATCATTATCCCTTGAATATAAAAAAAAATCATAAAATACCAGGTTACATTACTAATGCAAGGCATATTATCATGAAAGAGGAACTCTTTGTTTCCAAAGAAAACAAAAGTGGAATGTCAGAAAACAAG